TATTGTAGACCTGCACCAGACTGGGAAGAGTGAATCTACAATAGGCAAGCAGCTTGGTGTGAAAAAATCAACTGTGGGAGCAATCATCAGAAAATGGAAGACATACAAGACCACTGATAATCTCCCTCGATCTGGGGCTCCACGCAAGATCTCATCCCGTGGGGTCAAAATGATCATGAGAACGGTGAGCAAAGATCCCAGAACCACACGGGGGGACCTGGTGAATGACCTGCAGAGAGCTGGGACCAAAGTAACAAAGGTCACCATCAGTAACACACTACAACGGCAGGGAATCAAATCCCGCAGTGCCAGACGTGTTCCGCTGCTGAAGCCAGTGCATGTCCAGGCCCGTCTGAAGTTTGCCACAGAGCACATGGATGATACAGCAGAGGATTGGGAGAATGTCATGTGGTCAGATGAAACCAAAGTAGAACTTTTTGGTATAAACTCAACTCGTCGTGTTTGGAGGAAGAAGAATACTGAGATGCATCCCAAGAACACCATACCTACTGTGAAGCATGGGGGTGGAAACATCATGCTATGGGGCTGTTTTTCTGCCAAGGGGACAGGACGACTGATCCGTGTTAAGGACAGAATGAATGGGGCCATGTATCGTGAGATTTTGAGCCAAAACCTCCTTCCATCAGTGAGAACTTTGAAGATGAAACGAGGCTGGGTCTTCCAACATGACAATGATCCAAAACACACCGCCCGGGCAACAAAGGAGTGGCTCCGTAAGAAGCATTTGAAAGTCCTGGAGTGGCCTAGCCAGTCTCCAGACCTCAACCCCATAGAAAATCTGTGGCGGGAGTTGAAAGTCCGCGTTGCTCGGCGACAGCCCCAAAACATCACTGCTCTCGAGAAGATCTGCATGGAGGAATGGGCCAAAATACCAGCTACTGTGTGTGCAAACCTGGTACAGACCTATAGTAAACGTTTGACCTCTGTTATTGCCAACAAAGGTTATGTTACAAAGTATTGAGTTGTATTTTTGTTATTGACCAAATACTTATTTTCCACCCTGATTTACGAATAAATTCTTTACAAATCCTACCATGTGGATTCATGGATTTTTTTTTTTTTCACATTCTGTCTCTCACAGTTGAAGTGTACCTCTGGTGCAAATTACTGACCTCTGTCATCATTTTAGGTGGGGGAACTTGCACAATCGGTGGCTGACTAAATACTTTTTTGCCCCACTGTATGTGTCAAGCAGGTAGACAGGCCTTTTGTTTTGCATATTATTTTATTTCCACTTTAGGGAAGCTGTTGGCGTCTTTTTGTTTTAGTAATGTCTTTGATCTGGCTCAGCCGCCCAGTTCTCGTCCCCAACATTTTTCTTTTGTTAAGCTTACTGTTATCAGGGAATGGTAAATGAACAGTAAACCTTGCCTGATTACTAATCTTCCCGTTTCCCTCTCATTGATTTATTTGGGTTGTCATGGAAGAAGTATTAAACAATGCCTTTTATTAGAACATAAGCATTGATATGCAGTAATTGTATTTGAATTAGTTAAATATGAGTGGGCAACTCTGACCATGACAAGACTGCATTTACTTTAAGGAATTAATAAAAAAAATGTAGACATATTGTTGTCATTATTTTTACTCTTCAATTTGATGTGTTTTTTCTTTAAGATAGTATCAGAAGTTGCTCCTCCACCATGAAAAAAAAAACGGTTGCATGCATTCTTTTACTACATCCACGATTCTCCTCTGTGGTCTTCCTCACTCATCCTGTTTGGAGCTTAATGTTCAACATCCTTTATCTATTAAAATTACAGAAGTAGAAGAAAGTAATCATCAGAGCAGGAATCATGATAAATGATAAATAGATTACCAGTACATGAAAACATAACATTTGCATAATTTCTCTGATAACCCTGCATTGGATGGGTTTATTAACGGTGGGCTGAAATTGTACTACAGTCTGCAGATGAGGAACTTTTTTGAATGTTGAATTAAATGTCCTCCACAATCTGTATATGAATTGTCATTAAAACCATAGAGATTCTTACTTATAACGGAAAGAAAAGTGTGACAATGCCCATCAACATATAGTGTATATTTTTTGAAACATTACAAAGAGGCGTGTGCTGCTGAACTTGGGGAGCCGCTACAACGAGTCTTCAACCTCAGTCTGCGACTGGGGAGAGTGCCCGCCCTATGGAAGACATCCTGCATTGTCCCGGTCCCCAAAAAGAACCGGCCCAATGAGCTGAATGACTTCCGACCGGTGGCACTGACGTCACATCTTATGAAGACTCTAGAGCGGCTCTTCCTCAACCTCCTCCGACCACAGGTACAACATGCCCAGGACCCACTACAGTTTGCATACAAGGCGGGTGTCGGAGTGGAGGATGCCATCCTGTACCTCCTACACAGAGCCCACTCACACCTGGATGGGGGAAAAGGCACGGTCAGGATCCTGTTTCTTGACTTTTCCAGTGCCTTTAATACCATCCGGCCCTGTATGCTTCAGGAAAAACTGAACAGGATGGAGGTGGACCCCTGCCTGGTGGCTTGGATCTCCAACTACCTCACCGACAGACCACAGTACGTCAGGCTGAAGGACATCACGTCTGACACTGTGGTCAGCAGCACAGGAGCACCACAGGGAACTGTGCTGTCCCCTCTTCTCTTCACCCTGTACACCTCTGACTTCTGCTACAACTCTGAATTATGCCATATTCAGAAGTTTGCAGATGACACGGCCATCATGGGTGTATCTGGGATGATCAGGAAGAGGAGTACAGAAGTCTGGTGAGGAACTTTGTCGCATGGAGTCACACAAACCACCTGCAACTCAACACCTCAAAGACTAAGGAACTGGTTGTGGACTTCGGGAGGTCCAGAGAAGGTCCACTGCCGGTTCAGATAGAGGGAGAGGAGGTGGAGGTGGTCAACAAGTACAAGTACAAGTACCTCGGGCTGTGGGTGGACAATAAACTGGACTGGTCATGCAACACAGAGCACCTGTATAAAAAAGCCCAAAGCCGACTGTACTTCCTCAGGAGGCTGAGGTCTTTTAACATCTGCAGGAAGCTCCTGAGGATGTTTTACCAGTCAGTGGTTGCTGGAGTACTTTTCTATGCTGTGGTGTGCTGGGGGAGCAGCACAGCAAAGAGGGACTCATCCAGGCTGGAGAAACTGATCAGGAGGGCTAGCTCTGTGGTCGGCATGAAGCTGGACACTCTGGTGACAGTGGCAGAGAAAAGGACATTAAAGAAACTGCTGGACATTATGAACAATGCCAGGCATCCTCTGCACACGGCCATAAACAATCAGAAGAGTCTGTTCAGTGACAGGTTGCTTCTCCCCAAGACAAGAACTAACAGACTTAAAAACTCCTTTGTCCCACACGCCATCAGACTGTTTAACTCCTCTCTGGAGGGGAGAGGGAGGGGAAACAGGAGGACAAAGGAGGGAACAACTAAGCTGTAGTGCCTCTTCACCTCACTGTGCAATACCTTGTGCAATACTTTTTGTAAATAGTCAACAGTGCAACAGACTCAATACTTGAAATGTGCAATTCACTTGTATTTTTATTTTTTATTCCTATTTATTCTATTTATCCCCTTTGTATATTTTATTTATATTGTCTCTGTATTTATATATGTGTGTGTTTGTGTGTATATATATATATAACAATTCTGTAACTGTAACTTCGGTCGTTGCTGTGCTTTTTTTGGAAGTCGAATTTCCCAGAGGAACCCACCCGAGGGATTAATAAAGTTCTATCTTATCTTATCTTATCTTATCTTATCTTATCTTATCTTATCTTATCTTATCTTATCTTATCTTATCTTATCTTAAGATACATGTAATTCTGGGTTCACCTGAATTACAGATTAGACTGGTGGACAAACAGAGATGCTGTGTACAACTGGTGACAGCATCAGTGACAGGGATGCCAAAAGGAAGAACAAATTAATCAGCAAGGCTGGAAGCAGAATTAGGAGGCGTCATAGTCAGCTAGGGTCAGAGATCAATGAACAAATTTCCCACTTTCTTGGATAATGCATCACCCTCAAAAGGATTCAAAATTTGGGCCATCAAGAACAGTTCAGGAAACCTCTTTTATTGTTTCGTCTGTGAAAATGTATAAATGAAATGTAAATTATGTTAAAGGCAAACACATTTGTAAGCAATAAGAAACAAACATGCTTTGCATTATGTCTTTAAACATCTGTATGGACTTGATACAATATTTATTAACTGAATTTAAAAACATGTCTTACATAGTGGGAGTATTTCTTTTACTGATGATATTACAATGATATGTATTTTCTATGACTAAATAATGCTCTAACACATGGCAATAACAGCAGATGTGGCAATTTTGTAATTTGTTGTATAAATTTGATATTATTTTAGGCAGTATATTTTCTTAGCCTTTATCATACTCTGTCAACACAGCAATCTCAGAAACCGTACAGTATATTTGGCTGTGGATCACAGGGTGCAGAGTGGGGGTCACCCAGAGTCATAATCCAGTGAGATATCTGTGTCACCTCTTATAGTTTTCCTGTAATCTGAGCTCAAAGATGTCAATATGTAGAGTACAGTAAAGCAAAATGGGAAGATTTTACTATCAATTTTCTCAAAAACCGTACAGTAATTTTTGCTGTGGATGACAGTGTGAAGAGTGGGGGTCACCCAGAGTCAGAATCCAGTGAAATATCTGTGTCACCTCTTACAGTTTTCCTGTAATCTGAGCTCAAAGATGAGAATATTAAGAGTACAGTAGAGTAAATTGGGCAAATTTTATTGTTAATTTTCTCTGAATCATACAGTAATTTGGGCTGTGGATCACAGGGGGGAAAGTGGAGATAAACCAAAACTGGGAGTGGATTGTGAAGTAAAATAGTGTCAGGACAGAAAACACTTCGTTTCTAAGCCAGTCGGCACCTATACCGTAATATGCGTAAGAGTAGTGCAACCACATTTTAGGTGCGGCTGGCGGGGCGGCTAGCTTGACTGTGACTTCGTAAGTGAGGGCTCACTTGACCGCAGTAAGCAGAGCGAGTGGATTTTTCTGTTTTTTCATTGGCAATTACAGCGAGAAGTCATGCAACGCTATTTTCCCCTGATAACTTGTCGTTTGTTGCTAATATCTGCGCTTCTATTTGCCAGAGAAGCTGACGGTAAGTAGTTTGTTTTCCATACTTCGATAGGCTGCAGCTGAAGGGAGATAATCTGGCAGATGTTACAACTGAAGGCTGTAAAAATCTAACAGCGAAAAATGTGGGACTAGATAACGTGAGTGAAGGGAAAACAGACTAGAAATGAAAAACCAGGTATGACAAAGTTAAATTTAAACCGAAACAGCAGTAACGCTTTTTATAAAGTAAAAAGTGAAAAGTTCAAAAACTTTTATATTTTGTTCACATTTTTTCGGCGAATGCTGATTATATAAGACAAGTTTGTCTTCAGCTGAATAAATTCAATTGAAGCCAGACTTTACAGATAGGTAGGAACCTGGAAGGTTTTAGATTAATAAGGCAAAACAAGTCAGTAGTAGTTGGTAGCACATGGATTCTTGCGTATGCTTTAGATTTTCAGAGTGTATTTTGGAGCAATTACCCAACGATTACCCAACAGGTTATTTTTACTTTGATTTGTCTGAGTTTTGTAATTGTGCAGTTGTGTTTATGTCGGTCACATTTTGTGTGGTAAATGGTATTTTGAGTTTTAATTGTCTTTACTGTACTGTGGTTTGTTGTATTGTAATTATATTGTGCTTTGTGGCCTACAGTTACTAAAACTGTTTTGCTAGTGTTTTTTCTTTTGTTCCTTTTGTTTGCTAGTACAAGACAAAAGAGCTGTTGGAGGCAGGCAACTTTGCAAGACTGAATAAAGTGACTGTTTTGAGTTGTCACCATGGTGCTTGATTTGGAATAATGTATGAAATACCCTGACACCCATTAAGTCCGCACTAGTGACAAATATCTCATCCTGATGCTAAAGGAAGTGGCCGTACCAACGTTTCTAGTTCTTCTATATTGAACTTGGAAAAATGTGTTTTTATTGTATGAAGCCTGGACGCATTGTAGCTGAGTGTCCCATTTTAGGTAAAAACCAGGAAGCCACACCCATGGCTCCAAATGGTTCTGTACAGGCCAAATAACCAAATCAGACACTATGCTCTGAGAGTTTTTGCTTGGGTTTTGAACAGTTTATCCTAGATGGACTTGGAGCTGTAATTTTAAATCTGTGTAAATCAGACGTGCACTGTGGTCACGCCAGCATCGAATCCATCCAAGTTATATGGTTTATTAAAATAATCAAATTACAGCATTTACATTTATGTTAGACTACTTTTAATTAACTGCTTTAGCTGTAACTTTAAATCTGTGTAAAGCATCTCCTCTCTTGTCTCTTATCTTTAAGCTGAGGTTTGATCTTAGTGTTTCATGCTCTTTACAGCTCTAAAGGTGCTTGGTGGAAGTGTGACAGCGGTTCAAGGAGGTACGGCCATCTTACCGTGTCATGTCATTGACACCAATGATGACCTGACACAGATTACCTGGCAAAGGAAGACTAGAAAAAACCCTCATAATGACAATTTTATTACTATCCAACCCAGAAATGGACTACAGTTTGTCAATGGACGTGATGATCGATTTAAATATGTCGGGAATTTTAACAACAATAATGGAACTCTCCAGTTATCCAATGTTGCCCTGAAGGATGAAGGCAGCTACACGTGCATCTTCACCCTGTTTCCCAGTGGAAATCAGAAGATTGAGATTCCTCTAAACCTGCTCGGTATACAAATGAAATGTGTTTTAAGATATTCTAGGTGTTTGTATAACCGATGTAGATAGAGTTACTTTTACTGTCATGCTTACATGTCAACTTATTTGTGTGCTGTACCTCTCCTAGTGCCTCCTTTCACAAGTGTGATGGACAATCTTCCCACTTTGGGCACAGAAGAGGTTTTATTTGCTACCTGCACGGCTGCTGGATCGAAGCCTCCTGCAGAGGTGAGGTGGCTCACTGATGCTTTGGGAGACAAAGTGAGGACAACAACAAACTCCACCCAGTATGACAACGGTACGACTACCACAGTCAGCTCTCTGTTTGGTGTTCCTACGAGAGAGATTAATGGTCACCAGATCCAGTGTGTTATCAGTGGTGACTCCCTGTCTGCAGAAGAAACCCTGGCCTTCACCATACAGGTCTACTGTGAGTATCAGCTGTTCATGGAGTTTATTATTTTTCCTCTTCTTTTTTTTTTTTTAATCACTGTTCATTTAAGAATTTTAACAGTTTAATGAAATCATTAATAAAGTACACCAACACACCCAGGATCAATCTCAGCCTGTTTTATACAAAAACAGACATAAACGTTCTCATATTTCTGTCTTTGTTCAGGAGAAGGTTTTAGCGGGGGGTTGCATTTGCAGTTGCAACCTTATCCCTGCTGGCATGACTTTGCCTCTGTGTTAAGTCTCTTAAATTTAGGTTGTCACAGCAGACGGAGAGATTTCCTCAAAAACCAGACAGACTAAGTTGCGACATTTAGACTCGTATAAAGGGTGTTGTTACACCACTATTGCAATAGATGAAATCATGTAACCAAAAAAATACAGTGAAGTCATACCACAGTAGTTATTCCAGTGAGATGAAACTATTGACTTTGAGTCCAGACACAAGTCTGTTTCCTCAGTGACTGGTACTACAATACTGGAATATTTGTGTGCAATGTGGTTCTATACATGCATTCTTATTAGATACATTATTAATATAATGTATGTCACTTTTTGTCAGTTGTTCCGTAATTTTAGTTGCTCTCTCTGCAGACCTTCACCTCTCAGTACCAATAAACTACTATTTCAGATATTCAGCCTGTCCTGCAGAGTTTGTGGCCTGAGGTTATGTCCTACTGGTTCCTGCATGACAAAACACCATGTCACTAAGTAAAAGCTGTCTTCTCAAGCTAGATGATGAGTTCAATTAGCATCATTCTCTTTCCAGTGAGAAAATCTGTGCAGTTCCCCTAGGTTCAAGGTTCTTTATTTGTCACATGCATAGTTATACAAGTATAAAACAGTGAAATGTAACCTGACACGCTCCTCGACTTGTGCAAAAATTGCAGGGGGGTAGAGGAAGAACATTATATATATATATAATATAAACATGGGTATTATCAAACAAGCAATTTATATGTCAAACTATAAGTAAAATTAAATGAGGCTGTTTTGAAGTATTGTGTGCTCTTTTTTTTTTAGTGATGTTATATAACTGTGGTGTTCTGTTTCTGGTGGAATTCCCCAAAAGATCAAGAAACCTAATATGTTGTTTTTAGTATAAAGTGACTGTACGTGAGCCGGTGACACCTTTGACTGTGTTTGAAAGGATTAATCTTTGAAACTGAATGAAAACCAAGATTTGTGGTTTTGCCTGACGTGACAGGGTTCAAACATTTATGAAACATTATTTTGACATGATTAGTATTTCCTTAGTTTGGGGTTTACAGTTTTTTTTGTTTGTTTTTTCTTTGATTTTTGCAGTTTCTCCTACAGAAGTGAAAATTTCAGCAATTTCAGAGGATTCATTTGAGTGTGTGACAGAAGCTAACCCAAATGCAAAATTCACCTGGATCAGGTAAAGCAGTTTTAGTAATGGTTTCGGTTGAAATATTCATTTAAATGCTGAGAGAGAAAGAGACTTATATTTAGAGGCACATGTACACATGTGGGTAAAAACTCTTTTTGTAGTGCTGGCAGTGAATTTTGCAAAATAAACTGCAGACTATGATATCAGATGAAAGCTCAGTGTGAGTACTTTAAGCACATAATCTGTGATCTGATCAAAAGGTCAGCCAGTTAAACTTAATTGCTCAGTGATTTAATACCCTAAAAAAATCCTCCACCTCACTTTCTCTCAGAAGCATAATGTTCTTCATGTTCAGTTTGTTAAGAAAATAACATCCATAACATGGATTTAGAAAATGTATGCCCACGCATATGACAGAGAAAGGAGCCATTTTTCTATTAATGCAATCCTTTTAGAAAGTAAAGAACTGGTGCTGTTTTAAAAAGTTTATGAGGTCATTCTTTTCTTATTTTATTTATTGAATTTTATTGTTTTATTTATATTTTGATATTGCTAGGGATGATGCAATGATCGGGGACCATTCTTAATTTCGTTGTTCTCATGACAATGACAATAAAGTTTCTGATTCTTAATGATAAGGTACCATGGAAAGTTGTGTTATTGTTAGCTGACCTGGCCAGAGGACCGGTGAGCTCATGTCTTTGTCCTTATGAACAGTGTTGCCAACTTAGCGACTGATGGGCAAAATTACGTGCCAAACCATGCTACCTTTGTGAATGTGACCTACAAGCATACTTAAAGGGTAAAATTAAGTGCAAACCATCCTGGCTTTATGAATATGAGCTACAAGCATACTCTGATGGGCAAAGTTAAGTGGCAAACTGTCATACCTACTTATATTTGTGCTGGAATTACTCTGTCACAGGAGAAATGTGCATAAACTACTTACAGTAGGACGTTTTGCCAAAATAGAATGGTTTGTCAGAACACCGGTACCAAGCCTGGATAAAGGAGGAGGGTTGGAATTATGACATTAAAAAAACCAATAATTGCTAAGATAATTTAATTTATAGTTCTAAATATATTCTAAATGCATTTAGGTAGTTTTTTTACTCACTTTATTTCTGTCCCACGATCAATGTTCCCTCTAATTTTTCATGTGTCTGAGCAAAAAATAAAGAAAATTTTAAAAAAAGGAAAAAAAAAGAACAGACAGTTACCTGAACCTGCAGCTATTTTGCATGCATACTTCTATCCCATTGGTGTTATCCCAGAAACTGAAGAGCAACTGGAGGGGAACCCAAGGAGATGATTTATTGATAGCGACATCACCTTTTGACATTAACGTCATTCATACCAGTATTTTAGGTACTGTTTTTTTTGGCAAGCTCTTGCAGATGCTATCAAGATTCGGCTATTGAGATTTTATTTTTCTGATCTTTTAGCCAATAGCCAGAGAAAAGATAAGACTTTCAGTTATACGTGTAACTGATCCACCTTTATTTGTATGAACAGGGATTACATTTGAGAGACCATCAAGTGTGCTGCTTTTCCATAAATTGCCTATGTGGCCTCACTTTCATCTTTAATTGATATCGTTGTATAAACTATATAAACCCAGTTCATTTGTGTATAGTACATATATAATGTGGTTGATAATGTAACTTTTAGATGGTTTAACTCTGAACTACTTTGAAGTTATAGGGAGGTCACTTCAGGTTAATACTGTAACACTGGTGTCTTCAGTAATGCCATTGTCTTGACCGCTAGAGCACATACATGATGACTCTAATTGGATGTTGGATTTTCCATGTGTGAATGGGAATACAGAGATGCTGCCCATGTGTCCAAAGAAAATTAGATGGACTTAAATATTGCTATTTAATACATATACCAACAGTGAGTCAGTATTGTTGTGGAATTTTGCAAAATGGAATAAAGTGGAATAAAGTCTGCAACACGGAAAGAGCTATTTATTTCTGGGCAGGAGAGCCAACACACACATCAAACATCACAGTTCACAGTCATGCCTGCTCTGCCCTTCGGATGCTTCTCTTTTACCCCTCCACACACAACTCTCTGTATCTTTAGGTCCCACGGCCTATGGATGAAGACCTAAAAGCTACTCCCACTATCTTTTCCCAGGAAGCCCCTGGCGCTGGCTCTGAGATTCATCCTTCTGAGCAAAACAGTTAGCAAATAACATAATGAAACATCATTGCACCTAGCTAAGCAGTTTTCCTTACGACGTCATACTGACACACACACACACACACACGCACACACACACACACACACACACACACACACACACTTCACCTAAGCATACAAAGGTTATACCAAACCCTACAGTGAGATTTTAAACACATAAAGTCTAAATGTGAGGATAAACTAGAATTTTGCATAAGAGCTCTATTTAATTGTTGTTACAATGTCCAGACAATTACATTAAGGCAGGGATAGTTCAGTAGGTGGAGTGGTGGCCCCATGATTGGAATGTCGGGGGTTCGACTCCACTGAACGGTTACCCTGAGGTACCCCTGAGCAAGGTACCGTCCCTACACACTGCTCCCCGGGCGCTGCATTGGTGGCTGCCCACTGCTTCACTGGGTGAATGGGTTAAATGCAGAGGAGCAATTTCCCTATGGGGACTAACACACACACACATTAGCCTTTTACTGTTTTTAGATATTGCTTCCAAATAGTTAAAAGGTTTTTGTGTTTAGTTAGATCTTTATAAGTCCAAGTTTTTGGATTCAAAACCAGGGCTATATTGGTGTTGGGCAACAAAGGTAACAAGACTGCGACCGTGTTACCTTGCTAAAAGTTTTCAACAACTAGAGTGTAAAATTCATAAAGTCGCCTAATTTTAAAAAAAAAAAGAAAAAAAATCTTATTCAACAGATGATTATCTCATGTTAGGGTTGGGTGTAGAATTCTTTGTTGAAGTAATAGCAGCCAAGCAACCCAAGACCATTTAATTTGTTCATGATATGAGGATTCATGAGGTAGTTTACACATGGTTCCTGGATTGGTGTTGGTAAAAAAAAACTAAATGGTAAGTTGTGGAGAGAAGCTAACTGGTGGAAGAGTATTAGCTCCAGTGACAAAGGCAAGAATTGTTCCCAGCTTCTGTGTTCCCACTTAAAGTAATGGAAAAGCAAAACAGTCAAAAATTGCATTAAAAACAAAACATAAACACAGCAACACAAAATGCTTAAAGCATTACATTTACCTGCTGCATCTGTTAGGTAGACTCTTCAAAAGTAATGAAAACTGCTTCAGCATGCCCTTTATTGCTACTAGATGTAGAAAGGCAGATGGTAAAGAGGCTCTCAAGAAGATCAGCTGTGAGCATTGATGATTCATTTGTCTTCTTGGCTTTTCAGCCAATCACAGCAGTACAGACACCCTGCCTTGCATTTTTACTATACTTTTATACACATACCCATAGGTGATGTGTCGGTCGATATATGGATGATGCTTTCCAAAAAATAGCAACTAAACAAATAATTTTATCAGGTGCTTCTGAACTATAGAAATGCCTGGTCTTCAGGGAAAGCTGTTTTCGTGATGTATGATGTTCATACTTAAAGTTGGGACATTTTTAAATGTAATTGTAGGTAAGAAATTCACTATGTTCATAAAACAAAAGCGGAATTACAAATAACATGATTTTTTTTCACATACTTATAAACTCTTTTCATATTAAACCGCACCAGTGTCACTCAGCGATCTTTGGCTTCTCTCTCTGTAGTTCACCGATGATCAAATAAATGGGAGGAATCCCTGGCCAATGCAGTGCTTTAAATATTTTCAAGTTATATTTTTTTAATCTTAAGTGGCTATATTTTTTTTCAATACTTGAGAGAGCAAGCTCATTCTGCTAGTGTTAATCAGGTGAGATAAATGAGAATCAGATGTGGTGAAACTGAATCTTTTATTATCTAATATCTGAAATTGATGTTGTTTAGCTGCATTACATTGAATGCTTCAATCAATGCTCCCAAATCATTGAATCATCAATCATTGAAGACAAATGTGTAGACTGATGTAGTTTGAACAGATTTAGCAGGGCTCTGCTGATATGCACAAAATACAGTGGCATGAAACCTTACTCACACAAGATTTTCTTCAAAAAAGCAGAAATTAACATGAAAAGTGCCATTTACTCTTATTTTTTTTATACAAAATCTTAGTGTGAGCAAGTAAAGATCTATAACAAAGAGCTTATAACTGAAATGTATTCGACTTTTGGTACAACAGTTTTCTGCTCTCTCTGTACATTTCATGTTGAGTCTCATTCGTGTTTTTCTAGATCTGGCCAGTCTTTGCTGGAGTCTGCTGTCAAAGTAGACGGTGCAAACCTACAACTGCTCAGCCTGACGTCTGATCTAAATGGACTCTATCAGTGTGAAGCATCTAACGCATATGGAAGTAAACACGGTCAGCTCTATGTGCATGTGACATCAGGTGAAGTCTTAGCTTTTACAGTTTGTTCAAATCTATCTTTTGTTTCTGTTTTTTAGATCTGAGCTTTTGTGGATGTTGTGTCATGTTGCATGTTGATGAATGGTTGTCGGATGCTTCACCCAGTGCAACACATGTTATTAATACATGTTATTCTGCCTCACTGACAGAATCTCAGAGCGTGTCCTAGCTTGTGAAAGCTTTTTTCAGGGTCATATCAAGTTCATCTAATTTATTTTTGTAAAACTTTGTAAAACTTGAAAATACAAGGAAGTTTTGAATGTGAAATATAAAACTAAATGTTAAGGAAGTGAGAAAGAACAATATTTAATTTCTTTCCCATGATATTGTTTCTTCTTGTGCCCCTGCAGGAACAAGCCGTGTTGCCTGGGCATTATTTCTTGTTTTGCTTTCCCTGAATGTTGGGGCTGCAGCATGGTACTTTTATAAATCTGGACGTTTTAAAAGGTACTTTGAACAATAACATAGCTAATATGTGGTATAATATGTAGTCATTCTGATATAACAGTATATGGACATAATGGACAACTGGGTCTAGTAATCTTTGGTAAGTAGAAAAGGGTAAAAAATCAAATGCAGGTACAGTCCAGACTCAGGTTTAATTCAAGGGGCTGGAAAACAATATAAATGTCTTTCTTTCTTTTTTTCTTTTCTTTTTTTGCACAATTCAAAATCAAACATCCGTTTTGAGGGTCTCAAATTGGATAATTTCCTCAGAAGCTTTTACAGAAGTGTCCCACATAGCAAACTTGGTATGGCCCAGATCTGGCCCACACAATGTGCTTACACATGGCCCACATACCACAATAGGCTGTAACTAAGCTGCTATTGAAAGACACATTGCAAACTAGCTGTTTGCAGCATTATCAAGGGCTGAGTACTTCTTAAAGCAACATATTTCATAATTCGTTCTATTAAAAAAGTATGTTGCAATACCACAGGTAGTTTATTATTGGGAGTTGAGTCTCTCTTGCCTTGGTTGTGATTAGTTTTACTTGAATTTAATGTAAAACTCTATTATCTGAGGTATATTTATAGTTTTAGTTATGCAAAAGGCATTTTATTAAATATGCTTTTCTTGAGGAAACAATTTAAAGCAGCTGAGAAGTTAAAATAATAATTTTTCCATTACTATTGTCTAGGATATTAAACGTTTATAATTATAATAGTTTTATAATATTAAACATTCATTAGCAGATAAACTGAAAGTCTCTTCATGTTCAGTTGAAATTAAATGCAATTTTAAATTAGTGTTCTGCCCCGGCTTCCTCTAACAGCTGTGGGAGCAAATAAGGGACAACATCTGGACCGATGCCTCCACCAACGTGTCATTCCACAGTCAACTGGTAAACATACAGATGAATAGATGGAGGTATTTGGTAACATTTCCTACCCGCGAATCCCTTTTATTTTGTGATTCAGGTTTATAAATGTTTTTGTCTTACTTTAAAATTGCAGTAATTGCATAAATACACGCAAAACATTGGTAACTGACTCCCACTCTCCTTGCATGTCACTCCCACTGCCACAGCATTTTGGATGTGGCTTTTACTGCCTGTTCCTGTTGTCATGAACAACTTAAGCAGTATTTGGGATCCATACTGTTTCCACCAACAGTTTGAAGTGCTTTCATCTGCAGTTGGCTGTTGATAGCAGTTATATTAATGTGGTTACAGCTGTTTTTGTTTTTCCCCATCTACTTATTATTACTACCCTTCATGAAGGGTAGCAATGTTAATTGTATATTTTTAGGTTTAAAATGTACAGTACCAGCACAAGTTTAGACACACAGCCTGTTCATCAGCAGTACACCACGAAAGCCCACGCAGACATTGGGTTCAAAACAGCTCGCAGACAGTACAAACACTCACACCAGACAACACCTTGAATGCAGTAATCTGTCTGTCTGGTGTATAATTACTACTGAGCAACCAAAGCTGAGGGTGCAAACACTTGCTCTGTAATTTCAACCAGTATCATTAGTATATAATTTTATAACTATGCAGCCCTGCCTTTGTCCTTTTTTTTTAAAAAAAAAAAAAGGAATCTCAATCACTCATCAGGGACTTTTTTATACAGATAAAAGATCCTCCATTTTGCCAGATTTATTATTTTAGGGTTTTGTTTTTTTTTAATTAAATGGTAAATGGCTTGTATTTGTATAGCGCTTTACTTAATGCCTAAGGACCCCAAAGTGCTTTACACTACATTCAGTCATTCACACATTCACACACTGGTGATGGCAAGCTACATTGTAGCCACAGCTGCTCTGGGGCACACTGAATTAAAATCAAAGGTCTTATCCTGCTTAAATTTTTTCATTTAACCATCTATAAGAAACATTAAGTCTGAACATTTTCCAGGAGAGTTTAGCTAGAAAGGAAAGGTTTTGTTTCCCTTATTTCATGTTGTTTTCACAGACCTGTTGATTTCCTAGTGGAACTTTTGCACATCTGTTTTAGGTACGAACTTTTACTGCAGTGAATGATAGAGATACCAAATTTTTTTTCTGAGGAGCATGACTTTTGACCAGTATCTGACCAATCAAGTCATTGTTGCTAAATCAGTGTTTAGATTTTGTAAGTAAATAAGTATTTAGAAGTAAGTATTTTTTGTACCTCCATATTTTTTACTAAAACATATTTAGCTATCTTAATCCTTCTTAGCATTCGATGCACTTGTATATGTATTTTAACTGTACACCTTGAGCTATTTTTCTCTTGTTACTGAAGTGTAGACAGCATTGTTTTTATTTTTACACTAATGGTTATTTGTTACATTTGACCTTTCCACAACCTTAGCCATCACAGCTATATGAAAAGCCTTAACCTATCCTGAAGCCTGAATTTAGCATGCAACAAAACAGCCAAGGCACATTTGGCTCTTTAAAACCTGTCAAAAAAGTGAAACCCAGTAAAAATCTCTTCCCTTTGGCATCATATCTTTACACATTAAAATTATGAGGTATTACTTACTGGTGGCTTCACAAAGACACTGTTATAAAAGCATGGATTACCTGGGGACAAACTGAGGTGAAATTAAAATAAACTGATATATTTTTTTTGATTCTTTGTTTGTTACTTGTTACTTTTGTGAATGTCAATAAACAGCCAACAGTCTGGTTATGTGTTAATGTTGCCTTTTAACTACAGGACTTGCACCTTACTGATTGTTAATGACTTCCTGGGATCAACTTTGTAAGACGGGGCATAGCAGAAAATTTCTGAGAACCACTTTGGTATATGGTAGTGATAGTATAACATACTCTGGTGTCTCAAATGTGGCAGCTTTGCGTAAAAGATTAAATAACTAAAACATGGTCTTTGGTCTGCATTGTAAATTGATTTGTTTTTTTATTTGTCTTAAAAGTTAAATAAACCTGCATACATATACGTTTTTAAAATGTTTTTCTCATTCTTTTTTTCTTCTTTTTTTGCAACGATAAGGTGATTTCCAAAGATCTGTTAGTTGAAAACTTGTCATATTTCATCATGGTGTGTAGTACAATTACGTCCATAAATATCTGGACAGAGGCACAGGTTTGTTTGTTTTTTAATTTGGTTCTGTACATTAACACATAATGAATGTTAAATAACACACCTCAGATGCATTGAAATTGCAGACTTTCAGTTTTAATTCAGTGGGTTGAACAGAAAGATTGCATAAAATGTGAGGAACTAAAGCATTTTATTCCTTCATTTCAGGGGCTAAAAAGTAATTGGACAAATTAAATAACTGAAAATGAAATGTTCATTACTAATACTTGGTTGAAAACCCTTTGCTGGCAATGACAGCTTGAAGCCTTTAACTCATGGACATCACAACCTGAGTTTCCAATTTTTTTAATGCCCTGCCAGGCCTTTACTGCAGCGGCTTTCAGGTGCTGTTTGTTTGTGGGCCTTTCTGTCCAAAGTTTTTTCTTCAACAAGGGAAGTGAATGCTCAATTCGGTTTAAGCACTTCTGTGCTTTATTAAACTCCTGCTTGGCTGTTGCTTTGGCTGTATGGCTATTAATTTGGTTGCTTGTCCTGTGTCACATGGTCAATAAACACTAGTGTCCTAGTGCCACTGGCAGCCTTACACTCCCAAGATGTGGTATGCTTTGGATCATGAGAATGTTCCATATCTTCTCCATACTTTTTCTTGCTGACACTGTGGTAGAGGTTGATCTTGGCTTTATCTGTCCAAAGAATGATTTTCAAGAAGTGGGCTGGCTTTTTTTTTTTTTTTTGTCCAATCTAACCTTTCTGTTCTTGAGCCTTATGAATGACTTGGATCTTGCAGTGAACCTTCTGTTTTTACTTTCATGCAGTCTTCTCTTTATGCTGGACTATCAATACGCCTACCTTGTAGAGATTGTTCATTTGGTTTCTTTTTTCTCTGTTTTCGCTGCTTAAGGATGGCTTGTTTTCACCTGCATGAACATATGGCCTGTATTTATATAGCGCTCTACTAGTCCCTAAGGACCCCAAAGCGCTTCACACACTGGTGATGGCAAGCTACATTGTAACCACAACCACCCTGGGGCGCACTGACAGAACATAATGCTTGATGATGACATAATGACGAAGTTGCCCGCAACTGCCCATGAAATAGCCTTTGAATCAAGTGTCCAATTACCTTTGGAAAAAAAATGTGTTTGTGTCCAAATATATATATGGACCTAACTGTATCTCAGAAATTCTTGATCATCTTTAGAGGAATGGGTGATTTGAAGCGTTTCAGTCAGGTTTCAGAACTCATTACAGTAAAGAAACAGCTTTAATGAAGGTTACAGAGGATCTTACAGCCTCTGATAGTGGACTCATCTCTGTGCTTGTCCTGCTAGATCTCAGTTCATTGTTCGATACTGTTGACCACAATATTTTATTACAGCGATTAGAGCAGAGTTTACCAAAGTGTGGAGCCCACCCCTTAGGGGGGCGCAGAGCCATTCCATGGGGGGCGCAGAATGAAAAGAAGAAAAAAGAAAGAATGCTGGATGCTGCTTTCAAACGATGGCCTGTCAAAGGGTTAATTGCTATAAAGGATCTTTATATTGACAATCATTTTGCCTCTTTTGCTCAGCTTCAGACAAAGTACAATCTCCCTACAAGTCATTTTTTTTCGGTACTTACAAATTAGGAATTAATGCCAAGCAAGCATTCTCAAATTTAGATACCATCCCCATACAGCATGTCTTTTACAATATAATGAACGAACTTCCCACCTCAAAACACTTAATTTCTCGGCTTGTTAACCTTTTTTCTTCGGCAGCCCCCTCTTGCCATATTAAAGAGGCTTGGACACGGGACACTGGTTTGGTTATCACTGACTATTTATGGGCTGAAGTGTTAAGCCGGATAAAACTATGCTCTGTTAACTTCAGTTAATTCAATTTAAGGTTGTCCATAGACTGCACCATTCCAAAACCAAATTGAACAAGATTTTTCCTAATGTTTCCCCCAAATGTGATAAATGTAAACTTGTGGACGGTACTCTTGGCCATCTTTTTTGGTCCTGTTCTACGCTTACAGCCTTTTGGACTAGTATTTTTAGTTTCTATAGCACTGTTTATGATAGGCAACTGTATCCTGACTGTCTTATGGTGATCCTGGGCTGCTCCAGCGACTCCTTGGCACTTCCCTTTGCTGTTCAACAGGCCTATATTTTTGGTATGGCTATTGCCAAACGTCTGATTCTGGGGGAGTGGAAATCTGCCTCCCCTCCCTGCTTCAAGAGGTGGCTCGAGGAGATGGTCTCCTGTTTATACCTGGAAGAAATTCGGTTCTCTACGTCTGATTCCATGGAGAAGTTCAGGAAGATATGGGGGCCCTTTATAGACCACATTAAGAAGGACAGTCCACGCCCTGGGTCCTGACCACGTTGTTTTAACTGCTTTCATTCTGAGCTGTTGCCCATAACTGTTATTGCATAATTGTTATCAGCTCTTCCTAGCGATCTTTGGATTTGATCTTGTGGATTGGACTCACTAGATTGTGAGTTGTTTGACATGTATACCAGTTGCTTTTTTTTTCTTCTCTGCTGTTTTTAATAAGTGCTGGCCGTGTACCCTGTTGTGGGGTTTGTTGCTCTGTTGTTTTTTTTTTTGTTTGTTTGTTTGTTCCTGTGTTTTGTTTTTGTTTTTTGTTTTTTTGTTGTTGTTATTGTCTTTATTGTCTGTGTTCCTCTGTCTCCCTGTTTGTGAATGTGTAAAAATTTTGAAACTTGCATAAATAAATACATTTAAAAAAAAAAAAGAAAAAAAAAAGAATGAATGCTTGGACACTGCTTTAGACAGGTTTTTGACGGGGCGCCCACACAAACGCAAAGCAGGAAATGAAGCATAAGCATTTCCAAACCAACCTCCTTCCAACCCAAAGACTAGAAAATATGATGAAGCATGTCCTCCCTTTGGCTTCACCTGCACAAGTGCCAAGGTAGGTCTCCCCTGCATAATTGCTTTTCCCTTCGTCGGGAGCACACACTGGGCTCTCCAAATCACGGACAAACAGTATCCCTCATTCTTGATTTTAAGTTCACAAACACTTAATGACTAACTACTCCTGACATTTTGGAGATGTTAGCTCTTTATACAGTAAAGTTACAGTGGGATACAAATAATATCAGGCTGATCCTGCTGTAATTTGTTCCCCCTGTCACGGACAAACAGTATCCCACACTTGTTTATGTTTTTGAAACCATTTTGTACAGTGAGGCATTTTTTTCATTTTATAGCAACTTTGAATATTATTACACATAAAAAAAACAACTACAAGTAAAATAATTACACCATGTCGCCTCTGCCTTTCTAAATGGAGGAACAGGAGTTGTGTGTGTATATCTAAGCATGTAAAACCTGAAGATAGTAAGATCTTAAAATGTTAATGTAACATTTTTCTTGTGAAACAGAGGGGTCCTAGCGAAAAAAAAGTTTGGGCACCGCTGGATTAGAGCATGCTATCTAATGTACTTCAATTGGTTCATGCAAATGTCACACAGTGAAAATTTGGATTTGTCTTATAGTCAATTTTAGTGTGTTTATTTGCATGATTTTCATTTTGATTTTGATATTTGTATTGCATGTTTTCAGTGCTTTGCAGGAATTCTTTTTAATTCACTGTGGACTGGTTGGGCAATGGACGAATTGGTAATTAGTAGCCACCTGTTGAGGTGTGGGTGCGCCCTTAGGTGG